GTGTGTGTATATATATATATATATATATATATATATACACATGCATGCACATACGTTTTATTTAACTTCAGTGTGATTATGAAGCATATTTTTAGTTCAAGAAAAATGTGTCATTACAGATTTAAATAATCAACTAAGTACATTCAAAGCATTCAGTTATTAACTTGTCTAATCTAAACATACCACAGTCTCGTAGAACAGCAGGATTGTGGTGATGAAAGTTTGCATTCAACAAACTCCACAGTCAACATGCTGTGAATTAATACTGTTGTGTGTATTTGATGTTTGATGAAAAAAATAATTTGAAAGCTATTAAAGAAAATACCAGCTGATGGTGTTTAGTCTTATATAAATTATAGTGTTTTAAACTGACAGCTTTAAACTTTTTTTTTAGCTATGATATAAATTGTTGATGTAGTTTTCAGGAATTTCTGCAAGTGGAGGTTAGATGGTCTATTCATATAAATTTGGATGTATTCATTATTATTTTGTTTTCTGCTGTTAAAATATATATATTTGTACTGATGCTAAAAATATTTATGTGACTAAATTACACATGTAGAAAACATCTTAAGCATTACATGTACTTTCATACAAACGTAGTAACTGCTGTATTATCATTACTTTGACTTCTTAATTTAATGTAGGTATGTACAGGTGAATAAATTGTCCAATATTTTAATTGGTGAAAATGAAAGTTACATTTGTGTGTTTTTCTACCTTAACTAGTTTCTCACTTTTATGTATATTTTTTCTTGTTAGGTGACTATGAAGAATGTGCTCATTCTGTTGATTTGGTTAAGGAGAATAAAACTAAAGATTGCTGGAGTTTTCTTAAATTTGTTTGTTTTAAGACACTGACCAAGTGAAGTAAGTTTTTGTATTGCACGGATAGCTTCAAATAAGTATGTATATATATATGTATGTGTGTGTAATGATACAATTAAGTATAATTATATTGTAACTTCTGTTCCAGATGTCACTCAGAATAGTGAGACAAAGCAAGTTTCGTCATGTATTTGGCCAACCACTTAAGAGGGAGCAATGCTATGACAACATTAGAATAACTAAAAATTCATGGGACTCAAACTTTTGTGCAGTCAATCCAAAGTTTCTTGCAATTATTACAGAAATAGCTGGAGGTGGAGCTTTTCTTGTACTTCCACTCCAGAAGGTTAGTAAAAATGAAAGTTTTGTCCATAAAATATCTGCATTTACCTTTCCCATCTCTTCTGTCATGTTGTGTTTCCCTCAGACTTAGTAAATTTTAGAATTCTGGTGAGGATAAAACTGTTATGCTTATGAATGTTGTATAAGGCCTAGTTTTAAGACTACATTCAGGTACAGATTTAAGACATTCTGAACAGAAATATATTCTATATTATAAGAGACTATTCATTTGTGTATATTATTTTGTTTGCTACTCAGTTACAGAAGTAGGTTACAGTTGTTGTTATATTACCATGTTGCTGAGTTTGGAGAGTGCACTTGGGAAAAAAAAGGAAATTACTCTGACTTTTGTTTATTATTAAGCAATACTAAGCTGTTGTATATTATACAGTGTAGCTGTAATGGTAGTCAATTTTATATCTATCTATTTGATGACGTATAACCAATAATGTCACTTGAAACCATCGAGAAACATACACAAATTGGACCTGGAAAGATTCAAGTTTATTGTCTTCAACTGGAATATAAGCATATGTAACAGTTTATACAAAAAATTTTTTTTGAAAAAACAGCAATAATACTGTACTAGGTAAAGTTTTGTTACTAAATTGTGTTAAATTTGCTAACGTTTTTTATTCTTTTTAGTTTTATACAAGTATTTTTTATCATGAGGAAAGCTCAGAATTTTACTAACCAGTTTTTGCAGTTTCACTGCTAATTTTTAAAGCACCTATATAAACACTGAAGTCAGGACAAGGATGTTTCTGTTTAGTTCACTACTTTAATAACCAAGTATTACAATATAAATTTCATATACCAACATTTAAAAAAGAATATCAGTGAAAACTATGTAAATGTTCTTATGACAAATTTAAACCTTTGTTTACTAATATGGATATATTATATACCAACATTTTTTCTTTCATTCAGTCACATTTTTGATTCACATTTTGATACAATGGTGTATAATAATTAATTAAAAACTAATTACTAGCTATTTTTTCACCTGTCAAAAATATAACCCTCAAGATAAGGAGGAGAGGCTTATGTAAATCATGTTTAATTTGTTGGTTGGTAACAAGAAGGTAAAGATTCAGAAAAGTTGTTTGACCTAGATATGTGAATGTATGGTGTTTCTTGAGTATAATCTTCAGGTCATATTTTATCTACTTCCTGCTGGGTGAGGCAAGGGAAAGAGGGAAGTGTTATATCATTCTTTCCGTTAAAGTATTTTGAAGGTTTTCTACTAAGTGTTGTTATAATACATTTTTTTCTACATAAAATGTTCAATTCAGTAATTATTAAATGTGTAAGAATATCACTTAGAAAATTTTTGTACCGTCATTAAAATGTTTGGATGCCAAAACTTTAGAATTCAAGTGACAGTTCTATTAAAGTTGCTTAAGTTTTTTCCTGTGTTTGCAATTACAATGTAAATATCTATAAAGTAAAATTTGTACACTAATGTAGCATAGAATATGGAATGATTTTTTTGACTTAATTTAAAACATTTTTTCACATGATTAAAGCGTCTTACTAGAAATTTACTTCATAGTTTGTGAAATTTATTGGAACAAAATTAAATAAATATTATTTTCCTGTGGGTGTTTAACCATTGTAAAACTGTATTATATATAAATGTTATCTTGCAGAAAAATACAGTATAAAATATTAGCCTTTTTTTTCATGTTTTAGTATCTTCTGTATGTTCCAAACAATATTTAATTTATACATTATATTGATTTTATCATGAGCATAGTTATACAATTATCACTAGTGACCAAGAGAGAGAGAAAGAGTCATATATGACTATTTATCGTCATAGTTTTCAGGTCTAAGTAATTGAGATTTATGTATTTTTTAATGTACTGATATTCTAGAGATGGCAGTCTTCAAAATTTATGTGAAAGATAAGAGATTATTGTAATTTTAGGTTTACTAAGTATAGTATTTATTTCACATTTGGAAAAAGAAGAAACTAACGTAATTCTTGAATATTTTTAGATAATTTTGGGTGAATAAACATCTTTTGTGGCTATATAATAATTCTTGATTTTTACTCTAGTGACATAAACAAATTAGAATATATAATAATAACAAATGTAAAAAAAAAACACAAATTAATAAAAAGTGTGAAAAAATACCATAAAATATCCACTTTTTATACCAGAACTTCTGTGTAAAAAGTAAAATGTAAATAATCTGTGTATTATTAAAAATATTTACAATTTCTAGCATTAAAAATGATGTTAGTAGTTTTACGTAAAGTGTATATAGAATATTAAAAACATTTTTCTGTAGGTTACCAACATTTTAGCAGGAATGAAATTTATTCACTCTCTCAGAAACAAACTATATACTTCTTAAGGTTTGTAACATTTATCATCTTATATAAAGACTGAAAAATTTGTTAAAGAAAGAGCTAATATAAAAACCCAAAAGGATTTTTCTTACATAGAACAATCTCACATCTATAAAGCTATCCAATACTCTATGATTTTATTTATAGAATGATGTAGAGTTGGAAGCTGACATGTGTAATATTTTACACCAGTTTCATACATTCTGAATGATACCTGCTAAAATAAGTTTGCCCTCAGAAAAAAATATCCATTCTATTTGTATATGAAATTAGGTTTATTAAATTCATAATTAATACTAATTTCATCCAGTGAAGGTTTCACCCATAACAGAGACCAGAACGTATTCTAATATTCTTTAAAAGCAGTAGCAATTGTAGATATTAAAAGGAATATATTAAAGTTGAATTTTCTATTTGTAGACTGGCCGTATTGATATCAGTTACCCTCAAGTAGCAGGCCACAAAGGACCTGTAATGGATATTGCTTGGTGTCCTCACAATGATAATGTTATTGCTAGTAGTTCAGATGACACACTGGTTCGTGTATGGCAAATTCCAGAAGGTGGGCTTGTACGCCCTCTTGTGGATCCAGTTGTGGAGTTGGCTGGACATCAGAAGAAAGTTGGACTTGTTCAGTGGCATCCATCTGCTAATAATGTCTTGCTGAGTGCTGGTATGTAAAATTATGTTTTTGGTTATGTAAATTTGTAAGAGAGATCTTTATTTCTAATTTCTAGCCCAATTTCAGTACTTGAAAGAGTAGTTAGCAGTTGAACATGCAAGGTTTAGATTATATCAATATAAAGAACATTATTTTTTATTTAAAAAAATTCACAAGATAACTGTAAAGTTTATCTGTTAAAAAAAATTGAGTGACCTAAATTATTTAGTTAATGAAACAAAATAACTAAGAGTTATAGTCTCACAAATAAAAATGCATAATTTTATGTGTAAAATGTTGTATCAGAAAGTATCTTTGCATTCATGATCCCCCATTTAATTTTTGAAATGAGAGGTAGAGTTTGAAACTTTGAACCCATTATTTAGCAAAACTGATGAATGCAAAACCATATTATTTATTGTTTTAAATAGAAGATTCCTTGCATTGAAAGGTGACTACATCAATGCAAATGATGCCGAAACAGCCATCTGTGAATTATGATCTACTGTAGAAGTGAAAAAAAATTCTTATAGTTTAGAGGTTTAAGGGTAAACTTACATGAGCTTACATGCATTGAATTTTTCTGTCCATGCACCTAACAACAGCTGATAAATTCTCCAAACACCTTTCAGTCCCTTCAAGAAACTTTCTGATATGATTGATTAAGAGGAAAAGCTGTTCTAATGGTACTTGATTTGTATTTATGGCTTCCAAAGCTCTAAAGATACTGGTTGAGTCGAGTTTTCTTTTTGAATGAATATAAAGTTTTAGTTTCATTATTTTATGCTCCTTGTTTTAACATAGTAATTTGTTTTTAATATTCTTTCTACAAGACATACTCATTTGATTTGGCTTAGAATGTCCAAAAGACATGTTGGATAAGAAAGAATTTAAAAAAAACATACAGTTCAATACTTCTTATTTCATCTGAGAGAGAGCTTTTATCTGCACTGAACTTCAACAATTGAAACAGGAGCTTTATTTCACATATGTTAGAGAGAGTTTCTACTTAAATTTTAAGATTTTAGTATTCAAGAAAGAGGAAGAAATTTATTATGCATGTAGGAACAGACTGCTCAAAAAGGGGTTTGAAATAAATTTCATTACTTAGTTGGTGATCTCACATACAACTCTGAAACAGTTTGTTTTTCGAGCATTTCAAGAGAAAATGTTAGTGGGTTTTTAAACACTGGAAAATATTAAAAATTGCAGTCTTGCAGGTTTTCATCTAAAATATTTCAAGAGGAAAGTTAAGACATTTTTTTCTCTCACTTCTTAAATAAAAGTTATGTTATTCAATTGTCATATTTTTATATATTTTGTTCTTAAAATAACAATGTGTGAGTATTTTAAGTTCTGGTTTGATAATGCACTTGATGTAATTAAAATGTATAATATACAAATATTTAATTAATAAATTATTTACTCACCTCTTTTTTTTATTGGGCTTTAAGGGCCTAATTTAGCACTTCGATTAAAAATATTTTGAGCTTTACTAGCTGATTGGCAAAAGCAAGAGTCACCAATATTCTGTCTACAAACTGGCGATGTGAAATACGAGTTTGGTCATTCAAGACGTGGAATTTTTGTTGATTATAGCATCTACTTAACAATAGTTATGACCTCAAATTTCGTCTGGTTTTGGTTTAATGTCTCCAGAATGTTTTTATATTATCCATATGTATCCCCCCCCCCCCATAACTATCCATGCCTGTCAGATTAAAAGTGAGAAATACTACTATTAGTCATGCTCAGTAAAGGATAACTAAGACAATTTAAAT